GTTCATCTGTTTTTCTCGATGAGGGGCTTCCAGCCGCTCAGCAGACCTATTATAGGGTGAATTAATTCCGTTTCACGCATGATGCGCGTAATGTATAGTTTATTTTTGTTGCCCACCAAATGTTAAACAGGAAAAATTGAGGCATTATGCACATTGTGCGCGAAACGGAACGCACCTCTATATAGTTGTTACTAAGCAATTTGTTGAAAAGATACACGACATGATTCTCGTTGATCGCCGAACGAAAGTGCGTGAAGTACCAGAGACCATAATAAGCATGTCGTACAGAACGGCATTCATTATTATGCATATGATAACCTGGAAATGAAAAAGCTGTCGGTCCGATGGGTACCACGGTTAAAAAAATGGCAGGAGCATTGGGAAAAGTGTATATCTTCCTAAAAGGGGATTACATTGGAAAATAAAAAAGAAACCTTAAGAAATCTTAAGAAACTTGCATTCTTATTACTAACACGGATATCTACTTATCCTTATTGATTTATCGCTCGTATGTCAGCGTATTCTTTACAGTTTACGCGAACCGTCTAGTCTTTCCAGATTATATTTAACAATACAATCAGTTATTACAAAAATCGAGAAAACGAGATATTTTTATGTTAACAATTGTTGAGTAATTTCGAATTGTAATACATTGTCATATATCAGTATTAAAATGATTCGATTATGATTATTCATTACTTCAATTTGAGATAATGTGATGCAAAAAATATGGGTAATGGAAGGACAAATTAAGTAGTATTGTCATACTTTAATGTTTTAATAGATAATCGTCTTTTATATATCGAATTATATAGAGGTATTGATATAATCCTAATAATAACCAATAGATTCTCTTTAAAAAATATTAACGTAAATCATGTTTTTATATCAATAAGTTAAATAGTTCTTAAAATAAACTGTTACTTAATGCATTATTAAATACAAGAAAATATAGAACTTTTAATATTATAATTTTAAGATGTATGAAACGTTCAGAATAAATATATGATTTTGTTTTTATCAGTATTGTGCGTGTTAAATAATTTGTTATATGTATATCTATTAACATCAAAGATCTTATCTAAAAATATTAAGACCTGCGCATGCATATAATAATACGTACCTCGAGAGCGCAGAGAATCCAAACGATTAATTTTTCTAAAATGCCCAAGTTATAAAAAATGTTCTTCTTGCATTCTATTTTTGATTTAAATACAACAATTCAGTATCTGTTTTAAGTATAGAAAGGTTATGATTCATTAAAATTCGCAATAAAATCGAAATATTTTTTAGATACAGTATACTTCAGGAGAACACAGTATATAACATAATATTCATAAATATTAGATCCTTATATTAATATTTATATAGAATTAAACAAAAATTTACATCTCACTTAGACCGAGATCTGGATAGTCACCATTACTGAAAATACAACTCACATTTAGGTCCTACACTATGCAGATTTTCAGTATACCGGTGTATAACGAAATTATAATTTCACCATAGAAATCTCATTTTATGGTCTTACTGTCAAAAACTCGTTTCATCTGTATATGGGTGAAAATTTCATAATTCTGCGTCTCTTGCTCTATTCTATAATATATGATTCGTATACTTATATGAGAAGTTGAACTTCGTTATTTAGGTTATTCTATATCTACATCTGCGGGCTATGCGCCGCGTATTGCTTCTGGGAGATCGATCTTTTTCATACTCAGTTTGAATAGATTACCATAAAAAGAATATAGAGAAAGGTGGATTTTTAAAAATTCATCGTATCAGCTATCAAGAATATCTAATATGAGTTTTATTATAACAAATAAACATAAAATTTGTGTCATTTAGACAAAATTTACAGAATTATTGAATGAGCCATTAAAGACAATAGAAAATAACACGTATCGAGTACCAAATTATTTTATTAAATGTTTAAAACAAGAAATTTTAAGATGGGCTTGTACACTCCAACACCAGCATTGTGTAAGGATGGCCAAACATACATTAGAAGAGCATCTTGAGAATCCTGACAAGAATCCGTAATCCTTTTTTATATGTACCAAGGATATTAATATTCATTTATCTCATAGAGCAGGTCAGTAATATTACAAGAATACTGTATAAACGTTACAGCGATACTGTAACGCTGATAATTTAGTAGTAATGTTGCTGCAAGCTTCTGTGAGTAAATGATATTTTTTGCACGCTTTGAAAAACTGTTTGTTAAGATACTAAAATATATACCTATATATATATGTGTGTGTGTGTGTGTGTGTGTGTGTGTGTGTGTGTGTGTGTGTGTGTGTGTGTGTTAAGTATCTTTATTCTCTTTTAAAAAATCGTAGAGTTTCATCGGATTGGAAGCACTGGACATACTGTAGAGGTTTAACATTTTGCTATTTGGATATGTGGCTCAAAGTAAGAGATGTATGGTTATTACAATCTAATATGTTACCATTCTTAGCTTGCTGTAATTCGAGTTATATCGTTACACGTCTGACAGATCAATTTACGCGAAATGAAAAGAGAAATATTGCGATTATTCGTTCTCAAATAAACATTTTTCATTCAGCTATCAGTAAGCATGCTAATAACTACAAGATACTTCCAACGATATTAGTAAATTTGACGGAAATGAAACTGGAAATAAAACCGAAGTTAGTGCCTTTTTATATATATACTGTGTTTGAGTATTTATTAATAATAAGTTTATATATATAATTGTACTGATGTAAATCGTTTTGTAGGGAAATCAATATAGTAACAGCATTAATAGATATTATTAACCATGTATATTCCACTGCACTTCTTAAATGGGCAAGTAATGTTAATCTAAATTCGGTATATTTATTTATATGCTTTTGAATTAGCGCCTTCTCTTTTAAATTTATAGAAAAACGATAAAATATTACATGATATGCGAATTTTTATGTGTTTGCAATAGTATAATAAATTATTTATTAAATGTAAACATAAAAATATATTTCATTTCAGATGGCTCTTCAGATTAACTATACAAGAACTTTAATTGGGTTACCACGTACGAAAATTCTATACAAGATAGAAAAACGGGAGCTAGAAATTCACAATCATATAAAACATTTTCAGTTTATAAATGCTCCTTAATGTAATTTAAATGACTTTACATAAGTTACTTTGTGACTGAAACAAACCTGCTAAAAATAACATAAAAATAGTATTACTTTCAATAAATGTATCGTTTAGTGTTAATTTTAAATATTCTATATTAATTTTGTTATTAGTGTTTATTTCTATAGTATATATAGTCTATGAACTAGCGCTTTCTCTTTCAATTTATAGAAAAACTATAAGATATTGCACGATATGCAAATATTTATGTGTTTAAAATAGTATAATAATTATTTATTAATCGTTAACGTATAAAAATATTTTTTGTTTCAGATGTCTGTTTACCTAAACAATACAAGAAATATAACTAGGTTACAACTTACGAGACTTCAGTATAAGATAGAAAAATGAGAGCTATAACGAGAAATATAAGATAGAAATTAACAATCATATATAGATCATTTTCAGTTTATAAATGTTTTTTAATGTTATTTGGAAACTTCACATAAGTTGCCTTGTGATTGAAGCAAACAGTGCTGAAAATAGCAGAAAATAATGTTAGTTTCAATAATTGTATCGATTAGTTAATTTTGAATATTCTGTTACATTAATTTTGCTAATAATTTTATTCCGATGTTATACATATATATATTCTACTTATCTTCTCTTGCTGTGTATAGTTTTTTTCTATATCTTTTTTCCTGCTTCATTTACATGTTATTATATTTTTTATGTTATTAATAAAAAACTATAGTTTTTATATTATTTCTACATTTGTACTTATTATTGGTGTATCAATATTATTATTATTATTAATTATTTTTCTTTATAATGCAAAATAGATTTATCTTAATTATGCAATGGAAATCTATATCTAATTCTATTATAAATATAATATCCAATTTATGTACTATTTTCATCATAAAGCCTTTATGTTTAAAATTTTGGGGGGGGGGGGGGGGGGGGGGGGGCAGAAGTCCACCCCCTTGCACCCGCCCGTGTGTGTTCTATTTGATATATAACGATTATGAGCTATTACTTGATGTTTTACACACATACCACGCGCACGCACACACGCACACGCGCACGTACGCGCACGCGCACACACACACAATATTTGATTAGATTATTTTTAGTTATGTTCTTTCTGCATATCTTTCTACATGTTTGATTTTTATCGAAAGTGAGAAAGATAGTTCTAATGTATAGTCTAGTGTAGGAATAGAAAACGGACTATATTAAACATTGAAATAATTCGGCTCTGAATAAATTTTGGTGAATATTAGTGGGAAATAATTAAAGAATGTTGACATTATCAACAATTAATAAAAATTTCCAAATTTATCATAAAACATTTAATAATAATACATTATTATTAATTTCGTGATTTTTTATTTTATAAAAGCCGTATAATAATTGTTACGCATACTTTTAATGCAATAATATTTTATATATTGCCAAAAAATTATGAAATTTTTATCTGTAGTTGCTTTTATTATTTTTTGATAATAAAACTCGGATGATAACGTTAAAATCACAGTTTTTAATAAAATTCGAATATTATTAAATTTTTTACATATTTATATATACATATTTATATCGTATACATATATACATTTACATATTTACGAAACTAACAAAAAATGAATTTCATATATAGTTCATATCGTATTATCATTTTATTATTCTTGTCAGTGACATAGTTCAAGATGCTTCTACACGTAGAGCGTAGAGGCGCCACTCGCATGAAGCTCACTCTCACTCATGGTATAAGGATCTCTCACTCTCACTGCTCTCACAGGGCTGCACAGGGCACGCGGCAGTCCCGGCTCCCGGCACAGTCTACGTTCCCACGTACTCATTGGTACTCACGTTTATTGTACCTAACCTCAAACTACTAATAAGAAATAATGGCATCAATAACGAGATTAGTGAATTCTTTTGACGTGAATTCGAAGGAATTCGTATCGGTGGTGCACGATTTGATGATTGATAACAAGGACGTACCTTTTGATAATCACGAGGTACGGAATAAATTCATCTTTTTAGGACTTAAATGTGCTCTAACTTTACTTTGACTTAAGCGAGACTTAAAATTCTTACTTTCTCTTTTTAAAGAAAAGATAAAAACAGAGTTTTAAACCTTGCTTAAAGTAAAAAAGTTGTTGGATTAATTGAGCCTAAATTCTTTTTGGAAGAGCTCTTTATTTAAAAACATAAATGGACACAAGCTTTGTTCTATTTTTGTTACTTATGAAATCGAAAAAAGATATAATGACACTTCTTTCAACTATTATAAATGGAAAATACTTTTAATTCTTTGTAAATACTTTGCATAATACATCACTTATGCTTACATTTCAGGTCAACACTGTACAAAATGCTTTTGTAAAAAGTGTTAATTCTTGTATAAATCAAGCAGGATGTGATTTTCTACCTATCTTAGACAGAATTTTACCTACATGTTCCAAAGATACTTTTACAAAATACGGTTTGTTTTGGATAGTCAATACTACTAAAGTACTAGAAAATGTACATAGTAGCATACAAGATTTGATACTGGCATGTAAAGTATTGGGAGTTTTAGTCGAGCAGTGCAAAGAAATTCCAGATTTGCATAAGCAGATTTCTATGCAACATGTCAAACAGCTTATAAATGTTCTTAGCACGTTGCAACCAGATGCAAAATGTGGAGCAGTTTATTACTTGATAGCTGTTCTCCTTTATCATTATTCTGAAGTTTGCGATAGATTTCAGGTAACAATAGACAATTTTATCTTATAATATGTTTTTAATATCATCCTAAGAAGTTATGTGCTATTAAGAAATTATTTTAATATTTTTAGGAATTGATAAAGAAAATTATATTATTACAAATTGATTCCACTCAAAAGAATTTAGTTAATGCTAGTGCAAGATGTTATGTTCTTCTATCTAAAGTGACAGAGCGTTCATTTAAACCACCACCGTCTAAATCCATTTACACTGCAATAACATATAATGAAGTGTTGCTTTGTAATAACTTGCATGCTATAATGGATGAATTATTCTCCGGATTAATTGAGCTGGAAAGTGTAGATATCTGGGATCAATTAGAATTACCACCTATTTCTAATAAAGATGTACTACAGTACTATAATGGGCAGAAACAGAGATTTATAAATCTATGCATTTATCTCTCTTCAATGTTACGGTGTGATTTATTAATTTCATATTTATTAAATAATTTTATCAACTTCCATTATTCACGATCTTGAAATATATATTTAATTTAAAATTGCAGTTGGTATGAAGCAAGAAATTCTGTCCTACCTCGTGATATTCTAGGAGTTTTATGTCGAGGATTGGCAATAACTCCATTAAATTTAATGAATAAAACTTCGTTCAAAGAACAGAGGCTATACATTATTTTACCAAAATTGCATATTAGTTTACTCACAGTTTTAGATGCATTTATAAATGGGTATATATGTGTTTATATTCTTATGTATATATATATATATATATATATAAACCAAATATATTGATTAATAATGTATATGTATATTTCAGATTTGCTCAGGAACTAGTACCTTATGGGGCAATCATATTACAGTTATTCCAACAAACATTGCAGTGGACAAGTTTCATCTCAGAAAATCAAATGACATTTAGAGATAGTAAACCTTTTAAAAATGTCAGGATACACACATACAAATGTCTGTGCTCGTGGTTAATTAATATGGGTGCATCATCAGGTATAGAGACAATTGAAAATGAATTTATCACAGACATATTAAAGGATGTAACACCAGAACGAGAGTGTATATTATTATCTGTAAGTTCAAATAATTATCAATTAAATGCTGTTTATATAAAAAATTTAATAATTATATATTTTAAATTTTTTTAAATAAAGACTATTATTTTGTTATAGTTGCAACCAAAACATTCGTCCAAACGGGCGATAAAACATTTTAAACGTAGTCAATACGAAAATAGTGCTATAATGAATAATGGAGAAAGTTCTATCACCACTAAAAAGGGAAGTCTATATAAAGACTTATGTAAAGAGGCTCTTATCACTCTGCAATACATGATTTATAGCGGTAGCGTTCTGGTGAAACAGACATTTTACAAGGTAAATTTATTAAGTGTGCTATATTGTAATAATGCATTTCTATAACTTTCCTGAATTTTTCTTTTAGAGTGTGCAGAATACCGTAATACCCTTATTGTATAATGTTTATCTCGGTGCTGCAGAACAGAATTTTTACAAAGATCATAATATATGCCGCTTGGAATTATTTAAAGTATTAAAAGCTTTACAAATGAATCCACATGTCACATTAGTATGTCCTATACAATATTATCTCGAAATATCACACATGGCAACTCTTGATACCGATTTAAGTATTGCTCAAGAAGCAAAACTCACATTAGCTCAGTTAGAAAAAATTATACACCCTATTGCGCCTACGTTACAGTTACCTCGACAACGGTAAGAGTTTTAAATCTTATTTAAGTATATATTATATATATATATATTAGGGTGTCCGTTAATTTGGCGATTTTCGAATTTTTCCATTTTCCGGGCAAAAAGTGGTTTTGGTGGATAAATCAAAAAATGTTTCCTCCGTTTGATTTTTTTCAAAAAAATTACATTTTCATTAAAAATTTTCTAACTTGCCTTAAAATCATATTTCGTGACAAAATTCGGTGACTATCTTACGTGGAATTTCCTAAAGATGTTGAAAAAATATGGTTAATAATTTTAGTATACGTTGGAAGTGAAAGAAAGTGAAAAAAGTCGGAATTTTGCATTTTTCTTAATTTTTATGATAAAAATTTAGTTTATGTAAACTTGAATATATCAACGAAAAAAAATTTTGTTTGACCGCGCCCAATTGGAGGGTCTTCAGGCAGCATTCAAGAAAAGATATGCAAGTAGTCAGATTTTTTAATAACGTACAAAAAATTCGGTGGCTAAAATACTGAAAAAGTTTTTTTTTCCCATACAAATTCAGTACAAAACTTCATGTGCTCGGTGGCACGGGTTAAAAATTTTTATTTTTTTTTTTCCGTTGGGAAACTTTTTTTTTATTTATTTTGAACCACTTTTTGCCCGGAAAATGGAAAAATTCGAAAATCGCCAAATTAACGGACACCCTAATATATATATATATATGTATATAAAAAAGAATTTATCGTATATGTAAAAAAAACTATTAAAAGCTTTATATATTAAATACATTACAAAAATGTATGTTAATTTCTAGGGAATATGATGAACTTGTCCCTGAAATTCAAATAAAAGACGCTACTACTAGCAATGAAATAGAAGAAACTACTAATAGCACATCAGATAAAAGAAGTAGGGCTGAAGAAGAATCTTTTCAAGATGCAGATGCAATACCATCTATACATAAACGACCCAGAATAATTGCGATTGAAACAATACAGAAGGAAATGATTACAGAATTAACAGAAAAAAATAATGATATGAATATAAATAAATCTCAGGCAGATGATAATTCATGTCGACCAAATGTAATTCATGTCGACTCAATTCAGACTGAAACTGTAGAAGAACTAAATAAGACACAAAATAAGAAACAAAATCAACTGCATATTGATACAATTCCAAATGCTATTATTGAAAGTAGAGTGGAATGTGAATTAGATATGCATATTACTACAAAAGAACAAGAACCACATGAACAAGCTGAAGATTCGAAATCGCCTATTGATAAAAGAAACAAAAGAGTAGAACAAAATCCTAAAATCATTGGAAAAAAAGCATCTCCAGATTATATAAATGAATGGGAAGAAATGGACGATGAAGTTCTAAATTCTTTAAGTTTGTTTCACGACGAGATAAAATCATCTAATGATTAGATGATTTTATTTTACATATACTTTTACAATAAAAAAAATATGCATAAACATGTGTTATGAATAATTCAACCGCCAAATGGTATCGGCAGTATAGGTATCTTTGGTAATAATCTGTTAATCGTTTTTTGTTTTGTTATATTTTTTTATTCTTCAGTATTTTGATTTATCGATTTGTCTGCAATATTGGGACCGGAAACAAATGTGTTAAGTGTGTTAATAAGTTTTTGAATTATACATATTGTTTCTTTAGCACCTTGTTGTACTAATTGAAGAGGTATTTTGTATAAACTGCATGTTGGTTATTGTAACGTTCTGGTACAACCGTGTATTCATAATCCCATTTCACAGTATCTAAAGTTAACATATGAATAGTTTTATTAATCATGTACTCCGCAATTAATATTTAATGTAATTTTTCCCAACATTATTCGGTGTGACATTACCTTGGAGTATGTTAAGATAGCCGCGGAAAGCTTGCGGAACCAACCGCGATCCGTTTTGCATATTTGGTATAGTTCCTTACAAATATGGTATAAAATCATTGGTCAAATAATCTGGTACCGTGCTGAGTTTGTTTTGCACTTCGTCTTTGTATTGATCAAAAATTGCACCTCCTGTTTTATCCTTCAGGACTCCCGTTAATAGTGGTATAGACGGAAAATTGCCGAGCCTCAAAGAATCCACCGGTGATGCTATAAAATTCGGAAGCGATAAAGACGATCGATAATAAGTTTGATTTAAAAACGGTTCAGTTTAATAATTTGGTCTAGGTAAATTCTTTTACCTTCCATCGTTAGGGCCTTTTATGACAGGACCAGATCCAAGATCCAAGTAGACTGGTTAAAGTGGAGACGAAACCTCGAACAGTTGTATGAATGTTCTCCAACTTGGAATCGGTACTGATTAATTTTTCAATTGGCAATTCTCGCAGTCCATCATTCTGCGAGTATCGTTTGTTGGATAGCCATTTTTCTGAGCTATGTTTTTGGCGCTCTTAGGAGGATCCTTATCGACAGCAAAGTGATCGCAATAAAGTAATATGAAATCATGATTTTGTCAAAACCTATAATTTTTAGTTTATTCTCGATAGCCTTGGTAGTCTAAAAGCTTAGGGGCTACGCAGAATAAAAGGAACAGAGAACAGAGCATAAGAATTTCAACCTATCGGAAATCATATACTGTGGAATAAACAGTGTGTATTCCATAGTACATAATTTCTGATAGGTTGAAATTCTTATTCTCTGTTCTCTGTTCCCTGTTATTTTTATTCTGCGCAGCCTTAGAACGCTTACATGGAATACCAGAGATCCGAGTTCTACTCCCGGTCCAGGTAATGTTTTTCGCAATGAAAAATTAATGATTTACAGATTTAATATGTTGATTTACAAATTTCAATGTCATTGCATGTATAATATGCAAGATCTTGCATGCAGAAGTGTGACCGTACCCTTACAAAAAAAGGTTGAACAATTATGATTTATAAAAATATGAAATTTTGTTGTAAAAAAATTCATAATATAAAAACATAATAATTCTAAAATAAAAGTAACGTTAATTATAGAAACATTTTTTTTCCAAAATCGGTAAATATCAAAAAAAATAATTATTTATGACATTGAGAATAAACAATATCAAATCTTATATTGGATCGTGAGAATTTGAACCATATGAATACCGATGAGAACATACCGTAACGGTCAATCCAGATTTTGGATGCTTCTAATATACAATTTCGTGTGAATTTATATACTACGTATATGTAGATTCTTAAATGCGCATAGAAATTTTTTTAGATTTAACAACTTATAATTTTCAATTTATTTTAATTGAGACCTGTTATAACTTTTAACGTTATTGAAACCACAATTTTAAATAAAAATCGATTATATTACTTAATTTTAAACATATCCAATACATACATATCAATTAATTTAGTAAATCGTCAAATTGGTACTATATTATGTAATCCATCTACGTCACCGCTAAGCTACGGTTATCCGAAAAAAGGGGCAAATCAATGTTAGCTAATATACCTATTACAGAAGATTGTTTAAATGTATTTGACATTCTATGTTTATCATGATATCCGCTATCAACGGTATTATTAGTCTGCGGTGACTTCTCGAAAGAATAAGGTACGCAAAGTAATCAAACGCTCTAATCAACAACATTCATTTGCGACAATTTTTACAAATACGTTTAAATTTTTAGATACATTCACAGGTTAATAATGCAATTGTGATACATAAGGTATGTTTCTAAAGAGGTAACATGTTATTTATTTATAGTATGTATTGATTCAATTGTTTTTTTAATACTATAAATGTAGATATCAACATTTTCTCACCAAAACGAACAATAGTCCATTCACTATAAGTTAAAACACAAAAATTCCGACCCAGCTATAAATTGTTAAAACACCTTTATTTAGGCAAGAGAAATGATATCTGAAAAGAGTAAAAAGTTACCAATAGTTCCCAATGTTATGTACGCAAAGTTTTTTATCGAGCGTAGAAGGTTGAAGTTTCGGTTTTTCACGGTTATATTTTTCCTTTCAATATTACGGCCACAATATAATAAAAGAAAGATAATAAAAAATTAACTCAACAAAATTTTTTGTAATGTACTTCGTACGACCAATAGTTCGATAGATTTTTTTTATGAGACTTTTTATTTTCGAACGTTACGTACATGTCTTTCTGTCTTCGTGAATATCTCAAATTTAGCTGCAAAACGCATATAACAAAATTGAAAGAGTATTTAATTACCGACAAAATGATTTTTATTGAATGTCGTACGATCGATAGTTCTGGAGATATCATTTTTTAAATGCATGTTGACTTACAAATATTTTGAAAATGAGAATGTTTCCCCGTTTTAAAATATATCGGAAATATCTTATATATAGCTTCTCCTACGCCAAAAATAGTTATCATCAAAATGTAAGATTATTAAAACTTATAAACAAATAAAAATGTAATTACAAAGACAACGCTTGTTATGTTTTGAAAACAACTAAAATAATGATATTAAAATTACGGTATTAAATCAAGCCAACAAATTAAAAGATGACAATTTTTTTTAAATATTCTATAATTAAAAATGAAAAACGTTTCAACTTATACATAAGTCCTCTTCAGTCTCCTTTATAAATGATACATGACAAAATAAAACGTAACAATAAACGAAGTACGGTTAATCTTTCAAACTATAGTCCATCGAGTCAGCAAGTGAAATATGAATATTGTTTCTCAATCCGAACCAAGAAAATTATCCGCATCGTAATTCTAAATCCACATTATTATATATTAAGAAACAACTTGAAAATTATAGATTAAAATGAAACTATTAAACTTACGGCAAATTAGATGCTATGTATAATTTTCATCCTTCAAGTGAAACAATGTAAAGTGGAAAATAGTCTGTAATTAAGATTATTAAATTTCCTGCATTTTGTGGTCTTCTAATGATTTGCATACGGTAAATAATTATTGAGATATAGCTGAAAAATCTTTATCTGTTTTTTAGTACATTTTTGTAAGTATCACTTACTTCTGATTTGTCTGAGGTGAAAAATGTATAGAAATTATGTGAAAGCTTATAAAATTATCTTTAAAATGATATTTTTTAAACCTTGTCCTATAAATAGTTTTCGAGATACAGTTTTTGGAAAATTGATAGAAGATAAAATCGAAAAACCGAATTTTTAACACTTCTACGTTTGATAAAAAACTTAGTACAAGTTAACGTTGAAAACTTTTCGAACATCATTTCTCTCGACTAAATGAAAGTGTTTAGCAATTTATAGCTGGGTCGGAATTTTTGTGTTTATATGCCCTTTTTTGTTCTAAATTAGTGACTGGACTATAAGCGATTATTATTGATCGCAAGACAAATGAACGTGTTTAATATCAAAGAAATAAGTAAACTTATATTTTTGTCATAGTAAATCTTACTTCTTATATATAGTGTAAATTTATATACATAGACAATTTTGTAAACTGTGCTTCCGAATTTTTTTCACTTCTCAAACGGAGCGCAGTCATGATCTTAATTAAAGCTGTAATGTCATATTAAATTGATAAGCAATATTTAATAACTTCAATAATAATAAATATATTGTTATCATTTATTATTTTCTCATTTTTTGGTAGATATTGTTTATAACGACAATTGTTGCAACATGAATATAGTAAACATATGTAACTGCGTAATTCTTCTCATAGCAATAACTACTCTTAATGGAGAAGAAGTAAGCGATTCTAGCAATCCAAATTATATACATTTATCTTATTACGTGTTACCAGTGCACTACACCATACAACTTACCTATCGAAAACTAGTTCGTCAATGTATCGATAGATATTATTTGAAGTGTAATGAAACTTCTAATTTAAGTTATAATAATTATGACTCACTTTTCTTTCGTGGAGAAAGCTCTACAACTATCAATATTCTTCAATCGACTCAATATATAGAATTGCATCAACTAAATCTGACAATAATTGGGCAAAATACAACTTTAAAAACAGAAAATGGCATAATTTATGTATTGAATAACTATAAATATAACTATAAAACGAACATTTTAAAATTTAAATTACCTTATATATTATTCCCCGGGCTCTACACATTCAAAATTGAATATTTTGGTCATCTTAAAGGAACCCACGGAAAAAGTACCTACAGAAATTTCTACGAAAAAGAAGGCGTGGCGTAAGCAAATATTGAATAGACGAATATATATAACATACATGCATTGTATCCCCATAATATAATTATTTCTTATTTTTTCTCAAAACTCATTCTTTTATACCAATTTTTTATATTGTTACGTAAATTATATCTAATAGCAAAAAAGATATTTTATTTAATGTTATTTATAAAGCAAATATAAAGCAAATATAATGGTTATTAAAATGTTGTAGATTGTTCATCACTCCACACTTCCAAAGAAATGGAGTCAGACAATTGTTTCCTTGTTGGGACGAACCGAATCT